TAAGGTATTATTTTATATACATATATAAAATAAATAAAAGCTCTTTGGTATCCTCAGTGGTTTTTATGGAGGACCTGAGACCAAAGTTTGAAAATTGTATACAAAGAATATCCATGGCTCCCTTACAATGAAAATCTAATTGAATGAGTTCCTTGGTGATAAGATTTCTCCTATGTGATGCTAACAGTTTTTCAGTATCTGCTAAAGCACGAGTTGCTTTCTAGACCTCTAAGGCTTGCTCACTACCCTACAGGACATTTCCGTTTAATAAAGATGACAGAGATAATACACAATACATTTAAACAGCACAAGTACCAAATGCAGCATTGCTCAAGAAGACAGCTGAGGTTTGACTGCAGTGCATTCTACAGCGTCTCACCCCTCACCCCCCTCCTCCCTCCAATAGATAAATCGTTTACCAATCAAGAGAGACAGTACAGTGTGGAGAAGAGAGTTCTGGGCTGCAAATGAAGCAATCTCGCTTCTAGTCCCAGCTCTCTCACTAACAAGCTGTGGGACTTCCGGCCTGTCTCCTCTCACTATGCTTCAGTTTAAACTGAGGCAAAGGGGATGACTTAGGTGACCCTGTACCACCTCTAACGCCAAATGTGTGCTGGCAGATTCGGGAAGCTTAAAAATTACCAATTGTGTGTACATGTTTCTAAGTTAATGTAACAGGTGCTGCTGCCTCAAACAGGAATCCCCAATTTAGAATGCCTGGGTATGCACAGACCTTCATATTACCTCCTTACGCGACACAGGAAATCACCTACGTGAAATTCACCTATTGAATCTTTTTTCTTAAACTTTACTGAGTGTGTCTTTCTCCTTTCCACATTTTGTCCCCATCCCTGCTCCATGAGCTACCAAACTCGTTTTTCAGACCAGGTCGAGAAAGCTGAGCAGTGAGTTAGGATGAGACCTACGTCGCTGGTGGCACTGATCCCCAGACAGATACACCGACCCCTCCCCTCTACTCCGGTTCCCCGCCGCATCCCTTGAAACTCGACCCGCCAGCCTGCTTGCCGGCTAGGACGCCGCTGTCGCCCGCCCTGCCATGTGGCCAGAGATCCCCTTACCCTACGCGACAGACGCAGCCAACCCTCCAGTGTCACATCTCGGTCGCAAGTCCGGCCTCCTAGAGCGCCCTGTATGACTTCCGGGGCGTGGAGAGGAAGTCCCGCCCCACGCAACAGCGTGACGTAGGGGACCCATCGAGGTGTCTCGCGCAGGCTGGGACAGGATGAGGCGGGGGGCGCACCTCCTCAGGTTCTGCTGGAGTCCCTTGGGAGTCGAACGGAGGGACAGCTGGACAGGAGGTCATTGTTGCTGGGTGGGGAGAGGGCCGGGACCCCTTCAGCGCAGCCTGGGACAGCGACTCAGAGACTCCATTACCTCAAAACCCCCTCCTTCCCTTTGGGCGTCCTCCCCCCAGCTGCCTCGCTCCACCTGCCACTTGTGTTGTTTGTCACTGTCCTCGGTTTATTTGTGTAGGCCCATGCCTAGCTGATAATGGCTACCACTTACTGAGCATGGGCTGTGCGTCCTGTCAGCAGGCGCTCGTGAGCGCCGGGTTGTTCTTCGCTGCAGGAAGCGCGCTCATTCACCGTGGAGGGATGGAGCGCCCACAGAGCCCTCCACTCGACTGCGGGCACGGCAGTGTTGGGGCTAGGAAGACAGAATGGAAATTAAAATTGTCGTTTAGCTTCCTGAAACTGCCATAAGGAAGTACCACAAATTGGTTGCTTAAACAACAGATATTTATTCTCACAGGTCTGGAGGCTAGAAATCTGAAAAGAAGGTGTCCGCAGGATCACGCTTCCTCTGAAACTGGGTAAATTCCTTGCCTCTTCCTAGTTTCTGGTGTCCAGCAATCCTTGGCGTTCTTTGGCTTGCGGCTGCTTCACTCCAGTCTCTTAACTCTGTTCTCTCTGTGTCTCTGTCTCTGTCTCTCGTCTCTTAAAAGGTCACCAGTTCCATTGGATAAAGGGCTCACTCTACTCCGGTATGACCCGGTATTAACTAAGTACATCTGCAAGGACCCTATTTCCAGATAGTCACACTCTGAGGTTACAAGGACATTAATTTTTGGAGGGTGACACTATCCAACCCAGTATAGCTCTCAAGAACTTAAGAAGTAGGCAAGCCAACAGCTGACAAAAAGTAGTTGTAGTACAGGTGAATTTAAACATAGTTCAATTGGTCTAGGAAATTTTCATGGATATTTGAGCTATTCCCTTGATAGGTGGGTAAGATTTGGATGCGCCAGCATAGCATTCTAAGCCAACAAACATCACAAACAAGGAAGCACAAGTTGAAATGTAAAATAGGTTAAAGCAAGAAAGATCTTATGTCCAGGCTGAAAAGTTTGCAGTTGACTCTATATGAAATGAGTAAATCAGTGTTTGGGTGGTGGACCTGTGCTTTCAAGGTTAATTAGCAGCTTGAGCCAAATCTGCTTTGTGTTATTTAATCCAGTTTAAGAAATCTTAAATCCTATTTTTCTGAGCATATCCTGTGCTTTTTCATTATGTCTTTGCTTACGCTGTCTCTTACTTCTAGAATGCTGCCATCAAGCTGCACAATTTTCACTTGTCAATTTTTCTGTCATGGAAATTATACTATAACATAGGGTACAGGGGAGAGTTCCACTTATTTTATAATGTTAGCATCTCCTTAATACCAAAATCTGACAAAAATAACACAAGAAGAAACTAGACACCAAATCCACATAGATACAAAGCTCTAAAATAAAATATTAGTAAATTCAATCCTGCACTTCATCTGGAATAAGAAAGCATTAAAAAAAGAAAGAAAAACATTGATCCCAGGAATAATTTAATATTAGAAAACTTGTTGCTATAAATTATTGTATTAATAGTTTAAAGGTTTAAATGTTAATCTATTATGATTTAAAAACATTTCACAAGATGAGAATAGATAAATAGCTTGATAATAGGCACTTAGCAGAAATCTATGGGAAACATCATACTTAATGATAAAGCATAAGCAGCATTCCCACTACAGTCAAGAAAAAATGGAATGCCCGCTTTTTTTTCCTACTAATATTCAACACAATGCTAGGTTTTTCTAGCCAATACAGTAATTAAAAAGACAAAAATATTTTCAGATGATGTGATTTTTAGAAAATGCAGGAGAATGGAATGACTATTAGAACGAATTAGATGGTTCTAAAGGTGGTTAAATAAATTAACATATAAAAACATGTTTCTTATATACCAGTAATAAAACGGGAAAAAATAAAAAATGCTGAACAAAAGATATACAGTACTTTTATGGGAAATATGAAATATGATTGACATTAAAAACTCAAGTAAGTGTGGATTTCATGTTCCAGGATGGGAAAATTCAGTGCTTAAAGATAGTACTTTATCGGATTAATGAAAAATTTTGATACGGTGCCTATTAAATTGCTGATAGTATCTCCAAATAAGTCTGGTCAAATTTATGTTATTTTGATACACTCTTGAGTGCTATTTATTGATATTTTATTTAGAGTGTTTGTATCTCTTATGAGTGAGATTGGTATGTAGGGTTTTTTGGGGGCACTGTTAATCAGATATCGGTGTTTAAAATTATACTAGATCCCTTAAGTTTGAGAGTATTTCTTATTTTTCTATGGTCTGAAATAATTTAAGTTTAGAATTTTTTGCTCTTTTAATAGCTGAATAGAGAACTCAGTTCTGAAACTGTATTATACGAGGCATTATATGGTGTAAGGGGCATTTGGCTACCCTGGGGAGGCCAGTGAGGGGAGAAGGACCAGTTCAGAGACCAGGCACAAGTGGCAGGGCTGGCACAAGCAGGTGTGGGGTAGGGACTGAATGCCAGGAGGAGGGAAGAGAGGATGGGTGAGGGCCCAGTTTACCCACCCCAAACCTCAGTCTCACAGTCTCTGGCTGCCACCTGCCTTCAAAGCTGCCAGCAGTGGGAAGTGCTGCCATCAGACTGGCCTGGCATTCATGCTCAGAACCGGGCCCCAGGGCTTCCTGCTTGGCCACTTTGTCTGCCTGAGGGGTGGACTGCTTGTCCTCTATGCCCTGGCCTCAGAAGGAGAGCACCTAGCAAGGTGTGGAGTGTGGCCACTGCCAGGTGAGCCACTAGGACTGGGGGCTGGAATTCAGGTGGCATTACTCTGTGCCAAGAGAGGGGCTGACCAAAGGCTTTATAAGGGAAGGAGAGGCCAGAGGAGGGTATGCTGGGTGCTAAGGAAAGGGCCTGCTCTGCCCCCGTGGGGAGCCCAACCCTTGTTCTGGCTGAAAGTGGCCCGCTGGGAGCACTGACCCCAAAACCTTGCCTCTCACAGAGGAGCCCTTTGTCCAGGACTAGACTGAAGGCGGATGGGAAGGGCTGGACATTTAGGTCAGACCACAGTCACAGATCCAAGGGCTGCCACCAGAGCCCCACAAGCCTGTGCTTAGTGACAAGAACCCACTGGGCTGAGGGTCAGCAGGGGCCTCTAGGGGAAGGACAAGGCCCGAGGGACACCGTCACTCCCACACCCAATCTCAGGGCCACCCTCACCCTTCTGTTCTCCTGAAAGCTCAGTCAGGGTGAGAGGAGAAAGCTCAGGCCCCAGCAAGGAGCCTTTTTGGGGTGGATAGCACTGTCATGCTGGGTGCCCAGAGATTGGCACATCTGTCCCCTGGGCTCTTACAGTTCCAGGGCCTCACTTCTTTTGCTGGCTTGGCTCAATTGAAAGCCAAGGGGAGGGGTGGCTGTTTCTCCAGGTCAGGAGGGACGCAGGGGTTCAGTACCTCACGGTGGTGGGGTCTGGGGAAGGCGGGCAGCAGGAGAAGCAGTACTGTACAGTGGTTAAGGTCACGGGCACTGAAGCCAGACAGCCTGGGCTTGAATCCTGATCCCTCCACTTAACTAGTCTGTAACCTTGGCACCCCCTCCTAGCCTCAGTTTCCCCATCTGAAAAATGGGAAAGACAACAGTATCTTTCATGACGTCATTAGGGTTAAATGGGGTTGTAGCACAATTTCTGGCAATAAATGTCATCACTGTGGATGGAGCACTACATGTGGAGCTCGATCCTCTCTCCGAAGGGGCATCTTCTCATCCAGACCCTGACTCAAAGTCCAGGGGCCCAACTGATGGTGGCCAGAGTGCCACCCCAGTGAGGAACTTCAGAGAGAGAGCCAGGGGCTTTTCCAGCTGGCTGATTCCCTGAGAGCTCTGGGGCAGGGGTCACAGGGAGGCAACCGGCCTCTGAGGGCCCATTGTTCTTCTCCTCTGAGCTGAGGAAGCTACCTCCTCCCCACCCCTCCTCCCCTGATACCCAACCCTGCATTCTCAGGAGCAAACCAAAGAGAAACAAACCCTGCCCTTCTCCCCCTGTCCAGCTCACAAAGAGCTCATAGTGTCTCACAGTGGTCCTGCAATACCCAGCCTTTTGAACTTATTGTCCCCCATTCACAGATGAGGAAGTTGAGGCCCAGAGGGAAGAAGTGGCTTATTTGTGTTCCAGGTAGAAAAGTGACACAGCCAGGACTAGATCTCCCAGTCCTGTGTCCAGTATTGCTGCACAGACTCACAGATACACCACATGTACAGCCATGCGTGTCAGACAGACAGCCCCACATGCCGAGTGCACAGCCTGAGAGGAGAGGCAGGAGGGACAGTGGCCTGGACCCCACTCAGCAGCCAGGTGGTGACAGCTGGTTTTTTTTCCTTCCCAGATGAGCTTCACATCCTAAGTAACTAGAGCAGAAGTCTTCAGCTTGTCTCCTCCCAAGTAGGGTGTCTGCTGCCCCAATAGGGGCCAGGAAAGGTCACCCTTTTCCACAGCTGTGACCACCGTTTGGCCCAATGGCTTCCGGAGTGGGGAGAGGGAAGCAAGACTCAAGGTACCCTCCCTACTTGGTCGATTGCAGGAGAGCGTGACCAAAGGCCAAAGGACTGTGCACATGACTGGATCCTCCCTGTGGTCTCAGGTCAAGGGAGATGGGAGTGGGGAGACCTGAGCCTAGGAAGATCCACCATTCAGGTTTTGGGGGTTCCCAGGATGTGGGTTTTTTCATTTTAAAACCTGGAAAGTCCCAGACAAACTGCGATAAGTTGGTCACCTGAGTTTCCCACAGCTCTCAGTCTGAGAAGATGATACTCACCCA